ACAAAGGAAGTAAAAGATTTAGATGTTGAAAATTACAGTACTCTGGGGCTGGGGATTTAGCTCAGCGGCAAAAGCGCCTGCCTGGCAAGCGCAAGTTCGTGAGTTCGGTTCCTGGTACCGGAAAAAAAAAAAAAAAAAAAAAAAAAAAAAAGAAACAAACAAATCTCTGGAAGACTCATTTTTGATTAGCAAGTATAAGAGTTTTTATTAATCTAGTGTGATTTGCTGTTTTGTTTTTGTTTTTCTATTCATGGCTCTGCTGTTGAGCATTTATTTTGTGTTTTTGAAACTTAAAATAATTGAGATGTTAAACTTAGTTTAAATTGACTAGTGAATGTACAGCTTGTGGTATTAATTTACATCATACTTAAGTCAAATGTTGCAGAATGTACAGGGCCCTAAGTACTTAAAGCCTCCTATATTCAGTTAGGCAGCTTCTTTTCCTTTGAAAGAAGTGTTTTTTCTCTGAGCATAGCACCTGCTCCAAAATACATGTTATTTAAACAACATAATTATTTCTTCTACTTTTGTATGGATGTATTGATCTTTCCCTTCTCTCTCTTGATCTAATACAATGCTGAAAAAGACACCTAATTCTCTACGAGTACCTAACACAGTAATTGTAAATGTGTCCCACAAACTAACTTCTCACACTCCCAGAAATCCTGACAGTGGCTTCCCATTGCTCTTAAAATAAGGAACACAATAACCTTTCATTCAACCTTCACAATACACATGACCTGGTCCTTTCCAGTCCTGTGCAGTTCATTTTGTACCACATTCCCTTCTCTTTACAGGCCTGGGAGCATTGTGTTAACTTCTTGCCATAGGACCATGAAATATACCTGTCCTTTTCCTGGAACATTCTTCCCCATTACTTCCCTTTTCTGATTAATTCCTGTTTATCTTTCAGAGCTCAGATCAAGTACCAGGTTTTTTCTGTTGTTGCTGTTTTTGTTTTGAGAAGGGTCTCACTGTGCACTTCAGGCTGGCCTTGAGCTCACTTTATAGCCCAGGCTGATCTCAAACTCGTAACAATCCTCCTGCCTCAGCCTCGCAAATGCTGGGATTATAGGCATGTGCCACCACACCCAGCATCAAGTACCAGTTTCTTATGAAAACTTAACACTAACACAAAATAGCTTTTTATTATATGTACTTTGCCTTTATAGTACTTAATACTTCGTTAATTTTACATTGCCATGTGTGATTGTTTAATGTTATTCTCTGTTGCTAGAATGTAAGCTCCATAAGAGCTAAGACTAATATTGGTTTTTATATATTAAATACTCATTGAATAAATTAATGAAAAAATACCTCCGTAAAGGTATCTCAAATCTACTAAAATTAATGTTGATTAAAAATTGATAGTATAGTATAAAGCTGCCTAATGATTATATAAATAATAGGTAACATAAACAGCATACTTTGAGGAATGGGCAGTTTCATCAGGATGATTTCTCACGTTCGAGTTGTCATATTATTAATGCCATATTATAAAGATATAAAATGAAAAACATTTATAATGGTCTGTTATGAATTTCATATATAGCCTTGGCAAAACATTCGTAAACCAAGACAAATATAAATACTAAGCATTGCAAACATAAAAAGGATACATAAAAATTTTTTTAAAAAATCCTTCATTCTTTCTATTCATGGGGTTCCTTTGTTCAGAGTACCTGGTATAGGCTGTTCATTTTTACTTCTTCTCTTCCAGATTAACAGTAGGTAATACCATTAAATTTTGCTTCAAAATATTATTTCTCTTTTAGCTGTGGAAAGCAAGGTTAAGTGGATATGAAGAGGCCCTGAAAATCTTCCAAAAAATAAAGGATGAAAAGAGCCCAGAATGGTCCAAATATTTGGGATTGATAAAAAAATTTGTCACTGATTCTAATGCAGTGGTTCAGTTGAAAGGACTTGAAGCTGCACTTGTTTATGTTGAAAATGCCCATGTTGCAGGAAAGTAAGTATTTTTTTTCCCAACGATTCTGGTAAAAACCCCTTTCTTGTGCCACTTAGATTAATTATATATATTTTTAGATTTTTAGTTAATAGTTTTAGAATATACTCATTTTCCTTCACAGCTCCTTGTACTTGTTTTTCATAGTTTTTACTCACAAACTATAAATGGTAAGTGAGAAAGTCTTTAATAAATTTGGAAGAAACTGAGGTTGTCAGCAAAGGAACCAGAATCTCAGTGAAGACCATTGAGTATCACAAAAACTGCACCCTCTCCCCTATGTAAACAGTGTTTTCCAGCTAGGTGATCTTAGAGCCCTATCTTTCTCCCTGTAGCATTGGGCATCTCATTTCTTAGAGGAGGGCATGCTAACTAAACAATTTACATGACTCCTGGTCTGTTTGATTTGAGCTATAGATGATAGAAGGTTTCAGTCAATCAGTGTCCCATACCTCATAAACCTGGTTTTTCTGACTCTGGTATTTATGTCATACCTTCCATACAAAAAGAGAGTTGAGACCCTTGACTTAGTTTCACAAGAAAGAGGTACTTACTTCAAAGATTATACCAATAAAGATGCATTTTAATTTGACAGTTTGGTTAAACAGCATCACCATTAATGAAACCATTGCTTTTTTATATTTTTTTCTCTGATATCAGAAAGTACTTTGTGAACAAATGCTGCAGGTAATTCCACCCCACTCAGTCCCTCTAGTTCCCAGGAGTACAGATTCTATTTAATTTAGGAGTTCAATGCAATAAAGTTACGGTAAATTTTGCTAAGGAGTTGAGAACAGTTGATATGTAATAACCATCTGTCTCCTTGTGTGAATAAATTCACTTGCTATTGACTTAAGATTTTTCCCAAAACAGTGAGCACTCTACAATTCTATTTTTTTAACAACATACTTGAGTATTCACGTGTATGAGACAGACACATGCTTTAGAGAAATATCTAAAAGGATAGATACAAAAAGGTTGAAAGGAATTTTATTTGGCGGGATTTCAAGGAATTTTTGCTTTCTTTGAATTTTCTACATTTATAAACTGAAACTGGTGTAACATGTCAGATTTATGGATTGCATAAGTTTTTTATTAATGTTCTCGAACATACATTTAAAAACTAGAAGTTCATATACTTTTAAGAGCTTGTCCCTTCTGGTTATCTTCCCAGAAGAATTAAAAACATTGTAGCAGAGCAGTATATGTGAACTCGTTTATAGCAGCACAATTTGTAATAGCTAGATGTTAGAAACAACCCAAATGCCCATCAACTGAGGAATGGATAAAAAAGATGTGGTCTTTTTATACAATGGAATACTACTCAGTCATAAAGAAGGATAAATTGGAGACTTTTATAGGTAAATGGATGCAACTTGAGACCATACTCATAAGTGAAATAAACCAGATACATATGTGCAAACATTGTATTGTCTCCCTAGTGTGAGAAGCTGAAAGAGTAAATAAGATCCAAAATGTACAATAGATACTGTAAAATGGGAAGAAACTTCAAAAGGAAACAGAAACTGGGATGGAGAAATGGAAAAAAAAAAGGACAGGAAAAGCAAAAAAAAATACAGATATTAATATATTATATTTATTTATTTATAAAAGATAGTTAAGATAGTTATAGTACTAATTTCTCTTAGTTCATTGAAAACAAAGGTTTGTGCTAATATTATTTGGACAATTAAATGCCAATATCTTGTACTCTGAGTAACTAATTTAAAGATAACAATGTGTAAAGTATTAACCATCGTTACCTCCTATTAACTTATTTTGAAATTTTGGGGGTTTTTTTCCTCTTTAAAATTAAAAAAAGAATTTGTAAAATAGTTGTACACTTCTTTTCTATGTCCTTTATCCAGTTGTATTAAAGTGTGACTTTTGTGTGTGGTGATGGTTGTTTATATTACAGAACCACGGGAGAAGTTGTGTCAGGTGTTGTAAGTAAAGTTTTCAACCAACCTAAAGCCAAAGCCAAGGAGCTGGGCATAGAGATTTGTCTCATGTATATAGAGATTGAGAAAGGAGAGGCTGTGCAAGAAGAGCTCCTGAAAGGTCTGGATAACAAGAACCCCAAGATCATAGTGGCCTGTATAGAGACACTGAGGAAAGCCTTAAGGTAAGACTTTTTTCTTTTTGCCTTAGTTCTGTTATCTAGAGTTTGAGACCTTGGATTAAACAGAAGTGGAGACTTGTGGAACTTGACTTGGCCACAATGGGAAAGTGAGTAATATTAGCTTTCAAGTGTGTTGCTTTTTCTAAGTCCCTTCCTATTGAAGGTCAACAGGGTCATTTGTGACTTATTCTCAGATTGAGAATTGGCCTTTTAGTAGAAAAGTATTCCCAAGGTATATAAGCAGTTTCCTCTTGCTATCCTCAAGTATAGATTTAAGTACTTTAAAATGTTAGCCATAAAGGTAGTTGTGGGGTTTTTTTGTCTTTTTTTTTTTTTTTTTTTTTTTTTTGAGACAGGGTCTCGCTATGCAGTTCAGGCTGGCCTTGAGCTCACTTTGTAGCCCAGGCTGCTCTCAAACTTGCAATGATCTTCCTGCCTCAGCCTCCCGAGTGCTGAGATTATAGGCGTGTGTCCCCATGCCCAGCCTCATAGAGGTAGTTTTTTCAAAATAGGGTCTGCTAACACATGTCTTTTTTTCAAAATAGGGTCTCACTATATAGTTCAGGCTAGCTGCTGGCCTTGAGCTCACTATGTAGTCCAGGCTGTTCTTAAACTCACTTCGATCCTCCTGCTTCTGCCTCCTGAGTGCTGGGAGTACAAGTGTGTACCACCACACCTGGCTACATCCTTTTTCTAGGTACCTTTTTCGTAATAAAGTAGAAGCAAATGGCTATATCCCTTTAGACAGAAACACAGCAATAGCAAGCAAAAAGTAACTTTTATATAATAAAATTATTTTTGTCTATAGAGTTTCTTGTTTGGCATTGAAGTTTTTCATGAATGAGAGCTCTTTCAGGAATAAGCTGTATTTTGCTGTAGAACTCTAACTTACATGAGTCTGTAGTTTATTCTGATTTGGCAGTTCTTCTAATCTAATGTCATTTCCAGGGCTCTTCATGTTAGATACTTCAGAAGCAGCTCTAGGGAAATCCTAATAGAGCAGAGAGTGTCCTCACTCACCTCTCCTGTAATATCATGTATGATCTACATCTTAGAGAAAACACTCCCTTCACTGTCTGTGTGAAAGTATCAATATTCTTGAATGTTGTTAAACTACCTTTGATACATGTTGTAAAGTTTTATGTTGTCTTTTGCTTGATTTATAGTGTTCTTTTATAAAATTTGACTTTCATCTAGATTCTTGTGAGATAAAGGTTTCCTTACTTCTAGTCTATTATGGTATAGGAGGCATGTGTTTTTATGAGTAGTAAATAGTATGCTCATCTTAATATTATCTTAGAAATTTAGTGAGTTAACTTAATTATCAGGACTGTGTGCTTGTATCAGTAGGTCTGTCCTTAATAAAATAAGGATATATTATAAACATCTATCTTTATATTAGAAGTTTGTAGTCCAAAACTTTGAATGATACAAAGGGCCTGTTTCAGGCTACATGCCATAGGTTTACATGTTTCAGTTCACCACCACTGCTCTAGGTACTTCATCTTTAAGGTGACTGCGAGAATAAGGTTAGGGAAAAGACAAGTTAGAGCCATCTGTATGACTAATTCCAGTAATCCCAGCTACTTGGGAGGCTGAGACAGAAGGGATAGCCCCACTACTGAGGTTGAGGGGGGCTAGGTATATCTAATTATTTGGAGGGATTGAACCTTAAGCCTTGTGCTTGCTAGGCAAGTCCTATACCAATGAACTACATCCTCATCCCTTTTTATTTTACACTGAGTCAAGGTCTTGCTAAGTTGCCCGGGCTGGCCTTGAACTTGTTATCTTCCTGACTCACACTCCCAAGCAGCTCAGATTGCAGGTGCGCGCCAGGCTAAGTATATCTTCTTGTCTTTGTCTTAGTCACTTTCTCATCTCTGAAACATGGTATTGAACACGACAGCTTAGAGAAAGAGAGGTCTATTCTGGCTCACATTTCAGTCCATAGTCAGCTGGCTCCAAGGCAGGACAGCATGGGAAAGGGGCCGGGAGAAGGAGAGCTGCACACAGCATGGCAGACAGGAACAGAGAGAGTGAAGTGAGGTGGTGGAAGGGACACTTTTCCAGGTCATGCCCTCAGTGACCTGCCACTTCTGATCAGACCTCAGTTCCCCACCTCTTAACAGCAGGTCAGCTATAATGCCCCCACAACCCAGTCATCTTTCAGAAGCCCTGCCATTAAACACGTGAGGCTTCAGGAAGCTTTCCAGATAAAAATTATAACTCTTCATCATCATCCTCCTCATTATTTTTCTCTTGTTGATGGGAATCCAACCCTAAGCACCATTGGTGCTAGGAAGGTGCAACCACTCAGCTCCATCTCAGCCCTGTCTTCCTTATTAGTGTTATTTATATTTAGTCTGTTCCTCTGTGGTTCTTTGTATGTCCTAAAGAATCTACGGTTTGAATCACACCTTGAGGAACCTTGAGGCCAAAGTGCTCAATCATAGGTTCCAGAACCCCCTAAAGTTATCTTTGTCAGTGTAGCTTCAGAAGACCAAAAGCATTATGTTGTCCTTAAAACATTCTTCTAGAACTCTTACCATTTTTTTCTATAGAACTCTTATCATTTTTTCTATAATCTTAAAACATTCTCCTAGAACTCTTATCATTTTTTCTATAATCTTAAAACATTCTCCTAGAACTCTTATCATTTTTTCTATAATACAGTAATATATTCAGTATTAAACTTAGGTTTTGTTATTTATCAATTTTCCATGTGGACTTAATTCCGTTTCCTTTCAGAATTAGGCTAGAACAGAGAAACAGAATAAATGAGATGGGGGCTGGGGATTTAGCTCAGTGGCAAAAGCGCCTGCCTGGCAAGCGCAAGGTCGTGAGTTCGGTTCCCGGTACCGGAGAAAAACCAAAAAAAAAAAAAAAAAAAAAAAAAAAGAATAAATGAGATGGCATGGCAGTGCATGCTTGTAATTGGGGTTTTTTTTACTTTTTTTTTTTTTTTTTGTACCAGGAATCGAACTCATGGCCTCAAGCTTGCCAGGCAGGTACTTATGCCGCTGAGCTATGCCCCAGCCTGGCGGCGCATGCTTGGAATCCCAGTACTTGGGAGGCTGAGGCAGGAGTCTCATGACGAGTTTGAGGCCAGCTTAAACTACATAGTGAAACCCTACCTTAGAAAAAATAGGCTGAGATGAACAGTAAGCAAAGGAAATTTTTTTCTTCCCCTTCATTAGTCAAAGGAAGATTTGACATCACAAATGTTAGATTCTTCAGGCACCATTTTAAGAACCCCAGCCAGGCATGGTGGCTTGTGCCTATAATCCCAGCACTTGGGAGGCTGAATCAGAAGGAGTGCCATGAGTTTGAGGCCAACCTGGACTACAGAGAGAGTTCAAGGCCAGCCTGGACTACACAGCGAGATTCTATCTCAGAAAACAAAAACAATGGGGCTGGGGATTTAGCTCAGCGGCACAGCTCCTGCCTGGCAAGTGCAAGGTTGTGAGTTCAATTCCCGGTACCAGAAAAAAACCAAAAAAGCAAAACAAAACAAAACAAAAAATCACCCCTATATAACATATGGTATGGGACTATGCATGTACAACCCAAGCACATCATGTGTTGACAATGTTTTTACCCAATCTTTCTAGTGAATTTGGTTCTAAAATCATCTTGCTTAAGCCAATTATCAAAGTGTTGCCAAAACTCTTTGAGTCTCGAGAGAAGGCTGTTCGAGATGAAGCCAAACTAATTGCTGTGGAGATTTATAGATGGATTCGGGATGCCCTGAGACCCCCATTACAAAATATAAACTCTGTACAGGTGAGATACAATATTCTTTGTTTAGCCTTGCATGAGGTTAATATGAAGGTATGGTATTTCCTCCTTGTTAATATTCTATCCTTACATAGAATTATTTTTTGTTCTTTTTTTGGTGGGGCTGAGGATTGAACTCAGGGCCTCATACATGCTAAGCAAGTGCTCTATCCCTGAGCTACATCCTCAGCCCTATTCTTTATTTTGAAATCAGTTTGTTTTTCTAAGCATAGCTAACTTTCTATTACTTTGTTTCTCAAGTTAAATTCTGTGTATTAAATGATTCCAGTTTGCTAGTGTTAAATGTATAGCAGTTTGAAAGATCCCTTAATAATTCTGTTGGGTAGCAGGACTTACCTGTTTCAAAGAAACTCACTCTATTGGGCTTTTTCTTAAAATGAGTTTGAGGAATGGTAGCAAATATACCTGAATTCATGAGTTTGTCCTAAAAGTGGATTTTATTTTTTCTTAGAGCATACATATGCATGCATATGTGTGTGCTTATATACATATGTGTGTGTGTGTGTGTATATATTCATGTATCTTTAGTAAATGTAAATTGGTGTGATTTATACTACAGCATATATACTGTTTGTTTATTTTTCTTGTTTGCTCTGTTAGTGCCACATACAAAAGAAATTGTGTCTCAATATATCAGTAAATATAAAGTGTGGTTTTTAATGGTGGAATGTAGATAAGTTTTTAAAAATATTGTATACTTGCAGTTAAAAGAACTAGAAGAAGAATGGGTGAAACTACCAATGGGTGCTCCCAAACCAACTCGATTTCTGCGTTCCCAACAAGAGCTGGAAGCTAAGTTAGAGCAGCAACAAGCTGCTGGTGGTGATGCTGAAGCGGGTAAGCCAGTGTAAAGCTCAGGGTCCTTAAAAATTAGCAAGGTGCTGCCCCAAGGATATGTTCCAGTAGGCATATTTTGAAGGATAATATAAATTGGATATGACACTAGTAATTCTATCCCTCCTGTATTAGGTTTTCTTTCTTTCTTTCTTTGCTTCTTTCTTTCTTTTTTTCTTTCTTTCAAAGAGATCTTAAAAACCAATTAAAAAAATACAGAATTTCAAAACAAGATGATAGGAAATTAACAATGGTTATTATATTGTATATTGTTATCTTTAAAATAGTTGCTCAGATTACCCAGTATAGGCATGTAAAATTGATCCAACAATATAAGCACTAACTGTTCCTTTCAACAAAGTAATAGAAATTAGTAGTACAATTACCTTAGCTATCTTGT